TTTTTGTAATGCCAGTCACTTGTTGAGCATAGAAAATTATATGTAAACAAATATTGTTATACAAGACCGAATGTATTAAAATTTTGAGATCTTATTAACTCTAAACACGATAAAACTCGGAAAAAAAACTTTGTAAATTTATTAGAATCATCTTTATTAATATCTATCCCCTATAATGCAGTACAAATCATGAACTGAGCTGTTCCAGTTCTAATTTTGACGTTTTATGATTAATATGTATATATTTGAATGGTATCACTTGTACTGTGCAATGATATGTTATGGTATACATGTACAATATATATACGATATATTAATCAGTAAGTAATAACATGTATACAAACTTATTATATCATTACTTATGTTGCATGTACATAGTATACAATGTATGTATTCATACTTTCTATCTGGCTGAACAACTTTAACTTTGTTGCTTTGTAAATATGTTTTCTCTGTACTGTATGGTTAAAGAGAAATAAATCAATTGAAATTGGAATTGTAAGAAACCAATTAAATATCAATTTGTGTGCAGATTAATAAACCTCCTAACACAGAGCTGATGATAGCAGACTATCGTAATCCCATTGTCTGGTAGCACTCTTCGTGGATATGTGCAAAAATTTTGCCGTGAGGTGAAAACACCTGCACAGTGCAGGTAAATGTTTTGTTTGAATCATGAGGTGTCAGTGACTGTGTTATCATAGTTTATGGTCCGAGAAAAAACTTCGATACATCAAAAAGTTCAATTTATAAAACTTCCATTCATAAGGGTGTTAGTTAGTAGTAATACACAGGAATAAAATTTGGGACAAAAACTTGTATACATCGAGAAATTCGAATCATCGGAGTTCGATTCATAGAAGTTTTACTGTAATACCATCTGGTAACAGTTCAAGGCTTATATTTACATTTGTATGCAATTTTCGTCATCTGAAACAAAAATTTAGTTTTAATTTCCTACTTTACCTAACACTGACAACAGCAAGTTCAAGTCTGAGAGCAGCTTAAATATTACAGTTTTTCTTGTCATCATAAATAACAACCATATGAAACAGTATAGGCATAAAATTTGATTTAATATTGATATAAAAACGTGTACTATATCTTTTTAATAATTACATTATAAATAAAAGCAGCTTACTGCACATGGGTAGTTCTTAAAAAGAGACAATAAATTACTTCTGTTAGGATTTCATGACTTTGTTAAGTAACTAGGTGTTATGAAAGCATCTTACTTAATATGTGTTTTTCAGATGGATTTGTAGTATAGTCTAATGTACGTACATTTGGCGTACAAATAATATACAGGAGAATGCAACATAGAACTTGCATATGTAAAATTAATAAACATTTTGTATCAAGACATAAGTATTCGTATTACATATCACTTTCCCTGTATCAGGAAATTTATCAGTTCTGCTTCCTCCTGCGATATCTTAAGAGTCCTTTAATGTCCGTGTGTACTGTGTCCATGTTATGCTTGTATACTCTAAAATCAATATTTCATACATTCTCAATATCTTATACATGATGTATTTTAATGCAGGCCGATTATTTTAATAGGCTTCTGTGGTTGTAATTCAAATATATAAAGAGAAGACTAATGTTATAGCAGCTACCATGTGTAACTGTTGTGTTATAGTTAAATCTTTAGTTCGCCCGAATGCCCATCTTTTTACATTGATTTCGATTTCTAAAAAATTCCCTCAGTCACGTCAGGGCTGTTTTAAATAATTTAGTCCCGCAGTATCCCCGACAAGACCCGGATGCAGCTTTTGATTACAGTGTATCACACTGATCAGTATATAATGGTAACAAACACAGCCCTTTCCTGACCGGATACTAGTATTTATGTATAAATGATACACGGGTGTTTTGATACTGACTGAAAATATTTCCTACATAATTAAAGACAGCAAGTTGATGTTAATATGGAAAATATGTTCTAAATGGATGGATACCGCGTTTCGAAATGGGCATCGATAGTTTTATTATTGTCTTCGGCTACCAATGCAAGAGCTGAATGTAAGTATCGGTCAAACCACACAAATGTCAGGGAGGAGTGAAAGTATCGGTCACACTTCTCTAATGTCAGGGAGGAGTGAAAGTATCGGTCATACCGTACAAATGCATGACAAGAAAAAAGGTCTCAACTATCTGATTTCAGAAAGAAGCGTAAATATGTTGCGTCAAATGTAAGAGCAAGATGTAAGTATCAATCACACCAATTAAATGTCAGGGTGATATGAAAGTATCGGTCACACTTCTCTAATGTCAGACAGTAGTGAAAGTATCGGTCACACTTATCTAATGTCAGGGAGGAGTGATGTGTCTGTCACACTTCTCTAATGTCAAGGAGGAGTGATGTGTCAGTCACACCTCTCTAATGTCAGACAGGAGTAAAACTATTGGTCACACTTCTCTAATGTCAAGGAGGAGTGATGTGTCAGTCACACCTCTCTAATGTCAGACAGGAGTGAAACTATTGGTCACACTTCTCTAATGTCAGGGAGGAGTGAAAGTATCCGCCATACTTCCCTTGTGACAGGGATGAGTGAAAGTATCGGTCACATTTCTCTAATGCTAGACAACTGTGAATGTATTGGTCACACTTCTCTAATGTCAGGGAGGAGTGAATGTATCAGTCACACTTCTCTTGTGTCAGGAATGAGTAAAAGTATCGGTCACAATACTCTAATATCAGAGAGGAGTGATGTGTCTGTCACACTTATCTAATGCCAGACAAGTGTGAATGTATCGCTCACACTTTTCTAATGTCAGACAGGAGTGAAAGTATCGGTCACACTTCTATAATGTCAGACAGGAGTGAACGTATCGGTAACACTTCTCTAATGTCAGACAGGAGTGAAAGTATCGGTCATACTTCCCTTGTGACAGGGAGGAGTGAAAGTATCAGTCACACCTCTCTAATGTCAGACAGTAGTGAAAGTATCGGTCACACTTATCTAATGTCAGGGAGGGGTGATGTGTCAGTCACACTTCTCTAATGTCAGTCAGTAGTGAAAGTATCGGTCACACTTCTCTAATGCCGGACAGGAGTGAAAGTATCGGCCATACTTCCCTTGTGACAGGGAGGAGTGAAAGTATCGGTCACACTTCTCTAATCTCAGGGAGGAGTGAAAGTATCAGTCACACCTCTCTAATGCCAGACAGTAGTGAAAGTATCGGTCACACTTCTCTAATGCCAGACAGGAGTGAAAGTATCGGCCATACTTCCCTTGTGACAGGGAGGAGTGAAAGTATCGGTCACACTTCTCTAATGTCAGACAGTAGTGAAAGTATCGGTCACACTTATCTAATGTCAGGGAGGAGTGATGTGTCTCTCACACTTCTCTAATGCCAGACAAGTGTGAATGTATCGCTCACACTTTTCTAATGTCAGACAGGAGTGAAAGTATCGGTCACACTTCTATAATGTCAGACAGGAGTGAACGTATCGGTAACACTTCTCTAATGTCAGACAGGAGTGAAAGTATCGGTCATACTTCCCTTGTGACAGAGAGGAGTGAAAGTATCAGTCACACCTCTCTAATGTCAGACAGGAGTGAACACTTATGTAATGTCAGGGAGGGGTGATGTGTCAGTCACACTTCTCTAATGTCAGACAGTAGTGAAAGTATCGGTCACACTTATCTAATGTCAGGGAGGAGTGATGTGTCAGTCACACTTCTCTAATGTCAGTCAGTAGTGAAAGTATCGGTCACACTTATCTAATGTCAGGGAGGAATGAAAGTATCGCTCACACATCTCTTGTGTCAGTGAGGAGTGAAAGTATCAGTTACACTTACCTAATTTTAGGGAGGAGTGATTTTTCAGTCACACATCTCTTGTGTCATTGAGGAGTAAAAGTATCGGTCACACTTCTCTAATGTCAGAAGTATCGGTCTCACTTCTCGAATGTCAGACAGAAGTGAAAGTATCGGTCACACTTCTATAATGGCAGACAGGAGTGAAAGTATCGGTCACACTTCTCTAATGTCAGGGAGGAGTGAAAGTATCAGTCACACCTCTCTAATGTCAGACAGTAGTGAAAGTATCGGTCACACTTCTCTAATGCCGGACAGGAGTGAAAGTATCGGCCATACTTCCCTTGTGACAGGGAGGAGTGAAAGTATCGGTCACACTTTTCTAATGTCAGGGAGGAGTGAAAGTATCAGTCACACCTCTCTAATGTCACACAGTAGTGAAAGTATCGGTCACACTTCTCTAATGCCAGACAGGAGTGAAAGCATCGGCCATACTTCCCTTGTGACAGGGAGGAGTGAAAGTATCGGTCACACTTCTCTAATGTCAGGGAGGAATGAAAGTATCGGTCACACATCTTTTGTTTCAGTGAGGAGTAAAAGTATCGGTCACAGTACTCTAATATCAAAGAGGAGTGATGTGTCTGTCACACTTCTCTAATGCCAGACAAGTGTGAATGTATCGCTCACACTTTTCTAATGTCAGACAGGAGTGAAAGTATCGGTCACACTTCTATACAGGGAGGAGTGAAAGTATCAGTCACACCTCTCTAATGTCAGACAATAGTGAAAGTATCGGTCACACTTATCTAATGTCAGTCAGTAGTGAAATTATCGGACACACTTCTCTAATGCCAGACAGGAGTGAAAGTATCGGTCACACTTCTCTAATGTCAGGGAGGAGTGATGTGTCAATCACATTTCTCTTGTGTTAGGGAGGAGTGAAATGTACACACACGTACAGGTTAGCTGTGTGTGAGTAGTACATGTGAAATGTACACACAGGTACAGTTTAGTTGTGTGTGAGTAGTACATGTGAAATGTACACACAGGTACATGTTAGTTGTGCGAGTAGGTAGTACATGTGAAATGTACACACAGGTACATGTTAGTTAGTTGTGTGTGAAATATACACACAGGTACAGGTTAGTGTGACATTTGAAATGTACTTATTGATAATTCAGGTGTTTTAAATTCTGAGTACTCCTTTTAAATATATGAATCTTTATTTTACAGAAATCAAATCTGACTTGAAACCTTTAAGACCCTTGATAGGTGAGTGGCATCAACTTGACTGGGCACGGTGTGAGAAAAGTTACAGCAGATTCCTCAAAACCAGACTCACAACAACAAGCACCATCAATGGAATTAATTGGACACCAAACTATTAAGTTATATTTCTGTTCACAAACGCAAATATCTCAGTACACTCAGATTTATCCCTATTATAACTAACATCAAATTCTCTCCGTTCCTATAGGTCCTCACAATACACACATTAAACGGGTCGTATTCTGGTGAAAGACATAATTCAATATATAATACATTCCAATATAATATCTTGGACTTTGGTAATACAGGAATAAAAATGTTGTATAGAATGTATGTTCATTCAAACTGCCCTTTAAAAGTTACATCTTAACGTATTTAAAGTGCTGTATACTAATAAAAGTTTTTGTTTATTTTTGATATCCTTTCTTTATTTTCTTACAGTTCAAACTATAAACAGGATTAAAACAGAAAAAAAAGAGAAAAAGTTCATGGAGACCAAAGCTTTTCATGACGCACAAGAGAAACTCGGAAAGAACAGAGTCATAATGATCAAGGGTAACACAGGAGACGGCAAGACTTCGACTGCCTTTCAACTCATGGACTGGCTGATCAAGGAGCAGCAATGCAGGCAACCTCTTCAGCTTCATGAAATCAAGAAATTAGATAAATTGTCTCCAGACTCGAGTCTGGTTACTTTTATTGATGATATTTTTGGAGAGAGAAATGTTAGAAATACGGATGTAGCTGAGTGGAACAAAAGAATTAATAATGTAAAAACACTGTTTGTAGATCAACAAATGAAGGCCAATTTTTTGCTTGTTACTATTCGTAATGAAATATATAATGATTTGAAAGAGCGATCTTTGGAACCAGTTTTTACCAAAGATAACCTTATTGACATGAGTTCGGACACATACAGGATTTTAGAGGAAAGAAAAGAACTTCTACAAAAATATCTGCCAAACAATTATAAATGGGAAGAGAAAGAAATAGAAAGTATTGTAAAATCTGCTTCAAGCATTGGCTTTCCCCAATGCTGCCACCTTTTCTATAACTCCGTGGAATTGCAGGCAAAACGTGGGGAATTTTTTGAGAAACCTTTTGAATTTTTGAATGAAGCATTGTCTAGATTATCAAAATGTTGTGCCATTTTGTTTCTTTTCCTCAATGGAGGGGAGATAAAAGTTAAAGATCTAGACCCAAACAGTGATGAAATCAACAAAACATTGTTAGAGGAATCATTTGATATTAATCTGATTGATGGTGAGGAGGACAGATCCTCATTGAAGTACGAGAGAAAAGTAGGATTTGTAAAAGAAAGTTTAGACAGATTGCTAGGATTTTTAGTGGTGAAGGAGAAAAATTGGTTTGGTGATGAAGTATACAGATTTAATCATGATTCTGTACGTGTCACAGTAGCTCGTTTGTATTGGAACAAAACACCAGTTGGTTATATACAGAATTGTCCAGTGAAATTCCTCGGTTATCTCACAACCTCAAAAACATCCACAGACATGATTGTTTTATCATCAGATAATTATACACGTCTATGTGAACGTCTGCTGCGAGAGTTTGAGTGTGAGGAGTATGATTATAATAGTAGATATATTATTAAGTCTCTAGATGTATGGAAAGATCCCGTATTTGTTAAAAGATTCGATGAGTTGTTGAATGAGAAAAAGGTTGATAAACGTGCTGTGTTAAATAGAGCATGTAAATATGGTGTAAAAGAATGTGGTTTATATCTTCTGAGTGTGGGAGTCAAACCTGACAAGTACACAGACTTGTGGTCATTGATTATGTAGCCGGGTTCCAATGCTACAGTGTTTTATAAAATAACGCTGGATTCATTCCTTTCATACGTTTATTTAGACGCACCAAAAGACCCTACAATAACACAAATAAAACATAAGTTCACGTATAAGACATATTACAAACTACGCACTGTATGTTATACACTGGACATGGAGTCAACTTTACTTTTTACACATATTTATATTTCCCGTAACGGTTACACTAAACTTTACGAATTCATCAAAATATATATATCCAATGCCAACACATGATAAACTATAGGATTTACCATTTGTATTACACAGATGTAGTTAATAGTTAAATAATATATATACATAATATACCTACCCTATCAATCTGACAGGGGTCTCAAGAGATAACATCCTTTTTTACAATAAAATGATCTATGGTTCTGTTGAAAGAAAAACAACAAAACGTAATTAACTATATCTGTAATAAATTTCTTTAAGATAATTCTGCAAAAATTACTATTCCCATTACAAAAGGAATAATGAAAAAACCACAAAGAGATATTTCAATTTCTTCAAATATTTCAATAAATACGAAAATACTAATTCTGTGAAAGTTAACTAACATTATCATTTAAAATAATTAAATGATATTTCAAATACTTACTATTTTAAAATGTATTTTTGCCACCACAGTCGTCCGTACATATAATTGCGACTGTCCATGTCTCTGTCCAGCGCGTGAATAACGATACAGAACATACAGGTGCACGAACAAGCATGTAATCACGTGACAAGACATTTACATAACAAAACACAGGTGAGAAATTCTTAGAACATACACTGACAAAACAAACCGGTTGGACAAGTACATTTATAAAAATATATATAAATAGATAAAAGTAAAATTGACACTGCCACATACTCCCCCTGCAAATAAGATGACGTCCTCGTCAGTTTTTCTTGGTGACAAGAGACACTACTGCTTCTGTCATCTGTGGAGAGAGATTTAAAAATTCTTTTGAATTAGCTAGTGTCAACAAGTATCTGACTCTACGCAGCCAATCAGGCTCCTGGCCTGACATGACAAACTCACCTGAGGTGAACCACTTGGGTGGAGCTCTAACACGCTCCGACCTCCTGAGCTCAGTCTCTGGCTCCCGAGGTTGCTCACCCTCAACGTCTTGGGGTGGATCGTCATCAACAACCTCATCATCCCAGTCAGCTGTATGTGGACCGTCATCCTGCTGAACTGGAATATCTGTAACTGTAACAGATTCTTCTTCCGGTGTGGAAACATGGACTACCACTGATGAAGTATCACTTTGATCTTCGGGCTCCACCTCCACATCCTCACTCACTGTTTGTTTTGGTTTAGGCTTCCTATGCCTTGGCGCAGGTTTAGGCCTTGTAGGTGCTTTATCATCCATGCTCCTGGAATCTGGCGTCAAATATCCAACTGGAAGAAGATGGTTTCTGTGCATGGTTCTTTTTCTTCCAGTACCATCCTCCCGTTGAATGATATATACTGGAATATCATTGTTTGGCTGACTTTCCACTATATAAATTTCACTCTCCCATGGGTCAGCAATCTTGTGCCGGCCTTTGAATGCAAGTACTTTGACAAGTACTCTGTCTCCTGGCTCCAAGGTGGCACCACGTACTCGTACATCATACCCCACTTTCTGTTTCCTTTGTGCTTGATCAGCATTCAATGAAGCCAAATGATATGCTTGCTTCAAACGTTCACGTAACTCCTCAACATATGCAGAATATGAGGGTTGATCAGAGTCTTCATCCTGCTCCCTAACGCCAAAAGCAACATCAACTGGTAGTCTGGGGTGTCGACCGAACATCAGGTAGTACGGTGAATACCCTGTTGTCTCGTGCCTAGTGCAGTTGTATGCATTAGTGAAGGGTCCAATAAATGACTTCCAATCTTTCTTTTGGTCTGGATTCAATGTGCGAAGCATGTCAAGCAAAGTTCTGTTAAACCTCTCACACAAACCATTTCCTTGCGGATGATAAGGACTTGTCCTCGACTTCTCTATTCCTAATAGCAGACATAACTCCTTTATGAGATCTCCTTCAAAGTTAGCTCCCTGGTCGGAGTGGATTCGCTTGGGCATCCCATAATGGATGAAGAAGTTATGGTAAAGAGCATCTGCAGTAGTATGAGCCGACATATTCCGAGTAGGTATGGCTTGTGCATATTTAGTGAAGTGATCGGTTATCACTAAAAGATATTGATAATTTCCTTTGGCTGGTTCTAGTGTAAGAAAGTCAATACACACAAGTTCCATTGGCTGTGATGTTTGTATGCTGACAAGTGGGGCTCGGGTTCTTGCTGGTGTCTTGGCTCTGGTACAGCGATCGCACAGCTTCACCCATTCCTCTATGTCCTTGCACATTCCAGGCCAATAGAATCGATCCTGTATGCTTGACGTCGTCCTATCACGCCCAGGGTGTCCTATGTCATTGTGTAAGGCCTGAAGCACCCTCCGTCTCAATGACAAGGGCAATACTAACTGAAGTGTATCATCTCGAGTCTTCTTGTATAGGACCCCTCTGGAGAGAGTTAAGTTGTAAAATTTCTTTGCATAGACCTTGAACTCATTACAATTATCCATAAATCTTGTTGGCCTCTGATGATTCCTGACATAGGGCAATATGTCACCAATTGCTCCGTCCTCACTCTGTAGTTTCCTCATCTGTGTGGGTGTGTATTCTCCGAAGTCTTGTCCAATGTCGGTATCATCTAAGACCTCAGCTGACATGCACATGGTTTCCATAAATGGAGATCCCTCAGTGATGGCATTGCACACAGCTTTGATGCATTCCCTGGTAATGTGTTGGATGTCTGTCCTACAATCATCCTCAAGTCCTGGGTATCTTGATAAAGTATCTGCATCCAGGTTGTTCTTTCCAGGCTTGTAGCGTATGTCAAAGTTGTATGTAGCTAAGGCCGACAACCAGCGATGGCCTGCAGCATCCAGTTTTGCCTTCGAAAGTACATAGGTTAAAGGGTTGTTATCCGTGTAAACTGTGAAGTGGTTTCCATACAAATAATCATGAAACTTGTCGGTAATGGCCCACTTCATAGCTAAAAATTCTAGCTTATGAGCTGGGTAATTCTTCTCCGTTTTTGTAAGTCCACGACTGGCGTAAGCAACTGGACGGCATGTACCATCATGGTCCTGATACAAAACAGCTCCCAAACCGATTGAACTGGCATCTGTATGAAGCTCAAATGGTTTGGTGTAATCGGCAAATCCAAGAACAGGTGGTGATGAAAGAGCTTCTTTCAAGTTTTGGAATGATATTCTTTCCCGGGTGCCCCATTTCCACTCAACTTCTTCCTGCTTCTTAGACTTTGCTGACTTCTTATGAGTAGGTGGTAGTAAATCAGTGAGCGGTCTGGCAATATGAGCAAAGTTGGGTACAAATTTGCGATAATATCCGGCAAATCCTAAAAATTTTCTTACATCTTCAGGCGTTGATGGTTCTGGCCAATCTCGAATCTTTGCAATCTTGTCTGGATCAGCTTCTATACCAGCCTCCGATACAATATGTCCTACGTACTTCACTCGATTCCTGAAGAAACAGCATTTCTTTGGCGACAACTTCAAATCGCAATCCCTGAGTCTCTGAAATATCTTTTCAAGACGACGTAAATGTTCTTCATAAGTATCTGAAAACACAATAAGATCATCCAAATAGATAAGACAAATGTTCAAATGAAGATCACCAAGACATTCTTCCATTAGACGCTGATAGGTCGCTGGGGCGTTGGACAATCCAAAAGGCATACGGTTAAATTCGAAAAATCCTAACGGTCCAACAGTGAATGCTGTTCTTTCTTTGTGTGGTTCATCTACAGTGAAACCTCACCTAACGACCACCTCAAAATTACGACCACCCCGCTCTTACGGGCACTTTTTTCAGTCCCGTTTTTTTCCACTATATATCTTTGTATTGGTCGCTTCAGTATTACGACCACTTCCTACAGCCTCACAATTACGACCACGGCCTGTTAAAGTTTACCTGGTGGGCAGTGAACCGCGAAATGTGTGTCGTTCACGACCATTGTTTTCGTCACGGGTTACCGAAAACCGCGTGCTATACACGTTTTATCTGAATAACACAATAAGATCATCCAAATGTTACACTCTCGATATCGTTTGAACAATAAAAAAACGTATATGTGTTCCAGATAAGACAAATGTTCAAATGAAGATCACCAAAACGGCATTCTTCCATTAAATACGCTGATAGGTCGCTACAATCCAAAAGGCATACGGTTAAATTAAACGAATATATATCCTAACAGTGAATGCTGTTCTTTCTTTGTGTGGTTTGTGTGGTTCATCTATCTCCACCTGGTGGTAACCACTCTTCATATCCAGCAAGTGAAAAACTTGTTACCACTCAAACAGTCTAAGATCTCCTCTATTCTAGGCAAGGCGTAAGAATCTTTGATAGTGCGATTATTCAATTGCCGGTAATCCACACACATCCTTAAACTGCCATCTTTTTTCCTCACCAACACAACATTAGAAGTCCATGGTGAATGCGACTTCCTGATGATCCCTCCTGACAAAAGTTGCTGAAGGTGTCCTTTAACCTCCTCCAACATGGATGGTGGGATTCTTCGGTGACGTTGCTTGAAAGGGGTTTCGTCTTCAAGTCTTATCCTGTGCTGTACCATAGTGGAATGACCAATATCATTATCATGTTTCGAGAATATATCCTCATACTTCTTGATCAGTTCCATTCCCTCACTAAGCTGATACGGTGACAAAGGCACATCCTTCGATGAGGAAAAATCTAGGATATCCAATATACTGAGTCTCTCCTTTTGCTCCATGGAGGGCGGTGGTTTCTCCATGACTACTGGTTGGAGCTCACAAATCACTGCCTTTGGATGGATGGTCAGTGTCCGGCTGGTGACATTGGAAAGCTGCACAGATACAGTTCTATTTTTATCACCGAAATCTATGACTCCAGGTGTCAAATCCAGTAATGTTGAAATGGTAGCCAGTTTCGATGGCTGCAGCATGGCGCAGGTCTTATGATAGCTTATTGCTTTGTCAATGTAACCTTTCAAAGTAACGTAGCTATTCGGCTGCATCACAATACTTTTAGTCTCCGCACATCTAACAAGACCGAGTCTGTTTTCATTCCTGACTAACTCTCGCTCCCTTAAAGACAAACATCTGAATGCAAGATACCAGGGTGAATGAAGATCTGCTTGTTGTAGAAATCTTGCTCCATACTTACCTTTACAGGCATACATCATAGGGAACAGTACATTCGTGCCAAGTAGCAAAGGAACTGTTGAGTTATAACTGCTATCCGGGACAACTAATAATAAGCAGGCCAGTGACTCCCCACTAAGTCCAGGTACTGCTACATCTGTCTCTATATAACCAGAATATTGCAGGAGATTACCATCTGCACACTCCACATTCAGAAAATCTGTAATGGGCATGAGCTGACAAACATCTGACAGGAAGTTTCTGTAATAATGCTCAGAAATTGTTGAAACAGTGGAACCTGTGTCGAGCAAAGCTTGAACATTACTCTTAGCAAGGAACACTGATACTTCATTGGGTGTACCCACAAGCTCTCCGGGTACCTGTTTCTTCCTATCCTGTACATGATAGTTAAAAGCTCTTCTCTCACAGCCTATGAGCTGCCCTTCTTCATAGGCCTCTCCCCGTTTAAATGGTCTAACCGGATGCGACACCCAAGCTTAATGTGACCTCTCTGTCCGCATCGCCAGCACAACGGGCCATCATCATGGGGTTGAGATGTCTTTGACTCCTGAGGGTTAAAATGACGCTGTCCCTGCTGAGATTGCTCTCCCTGTTGATTGGTCCAAGACTTGCCCGCTCCAGACTTCCTGTTGAACTTCTGATACTGCTTTGTAACCTTTTTCATTTTAGCCATGTCTGTAGTCAACTGCTTGATCATCCCCTTCATTTCCTTTATGTCATCTGTTGCTTCAGAACTAGCCATGCAAGCAGGATTGGGCTTCGTTTTCATCTTTGACTCTTCAGGGTGGGGCTTCTTTGTCTGGGTCTCCTCCTCTCTATTCCTGAGATCTTGCTCCACCTGGCGGATTGCAATCACAAGACGATCAAAGTCTTGGATGGTGTCATACTTATGGCCTGTAATATCCTTTAAATCTCTTCTAAGGCCTGTCCAAAACATCGTTCTCAGCATATCTCCTGAGTGGGCATAAGTCACCTCTCTTCTCTTCACAGCTTTATTCAGTATATCCTCTAATCTACAACTCCAAGAGGCTGTATCCTCCCCCTCCTTCTGACGTGCGCTGTAAAACTGTGCCAGAAGTGCTTCACCCTTTTCCACAGTGCCGAAGATACTATCCATCTTGGTTAGGATATTTCTAACTGACACATCCAATCCAAGATGCATGACGACCGTTCCAGCTTTTCCCTTCAATGATCTTCGAAGTACATGGGCCACCACATCTTCTCCATGAGACAACAGCAAGGACTCCACCTCGTGCTTCCATAAATCATAGGATGTGTCCTTTTCTTCTCCAGAAAAGGTGGAAATCCTCACAGGTGGGCTGACTGTAACTGACACAGGATTGGGCATGGCACTTGCCCCATCTTCCTGTTTAGGATCCTTAGTACTGGTACTCCCCTTGGACTTGATCCATGACCGCAGCTCCTCAGACTTAAGTTTGCCTTCTTGGGGTTTGTAACCCATGGCTAAAAGAGTAGCTGTAATAACCTCAATGTCCTTCCCTGAAAATGATTTGTCGGACATGATGAATAAATAATTGGACAAAAGGCAAAACAATTTTAAAGCAATACACCTGAAACGAAATATCTACTAAAAAACACATCAGGACCAGCTCTCTAAAACATTTGTATTACGTCAGCTGTAAATAAACAATATTCATATCAAAATACTTAGTTTACACTGATCGCTGGGTTTTACCTGATATATTTTCCAAGTAATCCTTCTGAATGAGAAAAATGCTGTAAAATATTAGCTTAGTTCCAACAGCAAGGAATATTGAGTACAAGTTCAACAAAAAATCAGCACAAGAAACAAGGCACACATGTACATATATATATATAAAACATAAAGTGCAACATAAAACATCAGTCACAGAAATCAGGAATGTCAATTGCGAGGTCAAGTCAACTGTTTGCTAGTCAAAATAGTGACCGGGTAGGCAATATCTATGCGAGATCTACTTCAAATGACAAAAGAAAAAAAAATGAAAAGTTTCATCAAAACTGGAAATCCTATCGGATATAAGGTCATTTGAATCTGGAGTAAATATTCCAAGTCGGAACACAAAATTATAGTTGGGTAGAAAATATGTAATAATAATTTACGGGGTTTGAATAAATCAAAAATAAATAAATGAAAATTAATAAGCGAGAAAAAGAATGAAAAGCAATGGAAACAATGTAAGTATCAGCAAAGAGGAAATATTTCTACTTCCTTAGCTTATACCTATATTAGTATAACCTTACTACACCTCTGTACACTAGATTCAAAACAATCGAGACAACATCTAAAGTCTAACAAACACACAAATGAATGCGATCCAAAAGAACATGAAAGAAATAAACACACAAAATGGGTATCAACTGTGAGTTGTAATATTAAAGTCAAGAGTTCACGAGTAAATGTCATTGAAATTAATAAAACACTCGTGACCACTGCAGTTCAAAACAGGTGTTGTTCACTCAGGCATGACACGGTCGTCGACGAATTCACCTGTAGGCCTATCGAGTCGGTCTCAGTAGTAAAGCACACGCGTAACACAATGTAAAAATAGTAAAGTACACAACAAATGTTATGATAAAAATAACAGTTTTATATAAATCGACAGCTTCCAGTATGCATACTATCTGCTTGGAAACATAAAATGTTAATACAAGGAACGGTTTTATTTACCAAATAATACATCCACTCCGGTATAAATCGAATAATCCATGCTGATCAGTCAGACAACACAGAATTCAAAAACGTGGATTTCTTCCGGAAGTGCTAATACCTGACCTGGAAGGTCAAGGACACACAGCGATGGTCCAGAACTTCAAAACGAGGCTCCGTGATTTCAAATTTGCCGGGAACTCCCGTATCGTGTGTGAGTGTGTGTCCCTACATGGGCGCCAAAATGTAGCCGGGTTCCAATGCTACAGTGTTTTATAAAATAACGCTGGATTCATTCCTTTCATACGTTTATTTAGACGCACCAAAAGACCCTACAATAACACAAATAAAACATAAGTTCATGTATAAGACATATTACAAACTACGCACTGTATGTTATACACTGGACATGGAGTCAACTTTACTTTTTACACATATTTATATTTCCCGTAACGGTTACACTAAACTTTACGAATTCATCAAAATATATATATCCAATGCCAACACATGATAAACTATAGGATTTACCATTTGTATTACACAGATGTAGTTAATAGTTAAATAATATATATACATAATATACCTACCCTATCAATCTGACAGGGGTCTCAAGAGATAACATCCTTTTTTACAATAAAATGATCTATGGTTCTGTTGAAAGAAAAACAACAAAACGTAATTAACTATATTTGTAATAAATTTCTTTAAGATAATTCTGCAAAAATTACTATTCCCATTACAAAAGGAATAATGAAAAAACCACAAAGAGATATTTCAATTTCTTCAAATATTTCAATAAATACGAAAATACTAATTCTGTAAAAGTTAACTAACAATATCGTTTAAAATAATTAAATGATATTTCAAATACTTACTATTTTAAAATGTATTTTTGCCACCACAGTCGTCCGTACGTATACATATAATTGCGACTGTCCATGTCTCCAGGTGCACGAACAAGCATGTAATCACGTGACAAAACATTTACATAACAAAACACAGGTGAGAAATTCTTAGAACATACACTGACAAAACAAACCGGTTGGACAAGTACATTTATAAAAATATATATAAATAGATAAAAGTAAAATTGACACTGCCACAATTAGAGTAGGTGATTGGGATGGTGAGGGAGATGTGGATGTACTTAAGGAAGTTGTTAAATACCTGAATGATGAGAAGAAACATGACTTGTTAAATGATGCATGTCGTGCTGGTTCAACATAATGTGGTTTATATCTTCTGAGTGTGGGAGTCAAACCTTACCATGTCACATACTTGTGGTCATTGATTAGAGTAGGTGATTGGGGTGGTAAGGGAGATGTGAATGTACTTAAGGAAGTTGTTAAATACCTGAATGATGAGAAGAAACATCGCTTGTTAAATAGAGCATGTTATACTGGTTCAACAGAATGTGGTTTATATCTTCTGAGTAGATAAGTAGGCCGATACTATTTTCAGATAACTTTATTATCCAAAATGATGGAGGTCTGAAACATACAAAAAGTAACATTGTAAATAAAATCAACTATCTGTTGGTAAGACATAAGTAATAGACTAACAAGTAAATACATAATCCTCTATCCCTCCCCGAGTCATTTATAAGTATTTTAAATGACTGATTTAATGTTTTTGTCCTTGTGGGAAATATGGATGGAATAAGTCTATTACTGTTCATTGTCACTGAAAATGTGATATGCCTTAACACTGTTATTACATTGTGAGATCAAATTATGTATCAATTAACAGTAAATGTAACATACAAAGAAAATGAAATTAAAATGATAAGGTACTATTTGTACATTAATTAAAAAGTAGAAAAGTAGAACTGTCATTGGGCAGACTACCCTCCAGTTCGGGGATTATTCTGCCCCATTTAATGCTCATAATCACTAAGCCATTTTGGCTCTTGTCGTTGTCGATTAGGACGTCTTGGGGTAAGGTCAACGGATAGTTGCTCTGGTCTGTTTGTCACGATCCTCCTGGGTGTGACTGGTGTTGCAGGTGAGGTAGTTGGAGGATGTGGTGACGGCGGTAGCCTGGGCGATGCTGGAGAGGGAGACGAATTAACCATTTGTGGGGATCCGTCCAATGCCAAGGGTGTTTGCGGTTTAGATTGGACTGTATGAGACGTCCTATCCTGCACAGGAGGTGGACTGTTACTCAGATCTTGTGAAGCTGGTGCACGCTTACTGATCCCTTGTGGATTGATGTCCAGACTGGGCTTCAAAGGATTTGCCGGGACCACTGGAGTTCCGCTCGTCGGTGGTGTAAAGTTTGGAATGTCCCTTTTGAAGTAATGTTTCAAGTCCTGCTCTATGGATTGCTTTTCAGGGGGAGAATACACAGGTGTATACTTGCGTAGAAACTTTCGATTGCGAAGCGTGATTCTGCCCGACCCGTCGATACGTACGACGTATTGGTCATATTGGTGAACCTCTATAACAGTTCCGGTTTTATCCCATTTTCTCGGATATGGTCCAGTTTGGTTTTGAATCCTGACGAGGTCTCCAACTTTTAGTGGCAGCAGACGCTTCGTATGTTCAGCTAAGCGTTCGGCGGTCTTCATGTGTCTGATACGTAAAGCCTCTTCTCTCAGGGTAAGCGTATCACTCCATGTCTCGTGTGGCTTATAGCGGCCTGGTAAGATTGGGATGAAGTCTCGAATGGCCCGCCCAAAAACACACATTGCTGGCGATAATTTCGTATCCCTGTCTGGAGTGTTACGGTATTGCAGCACTGCACGCTGGAAGGAGTCTGTGTCCAATTCACCATTTGGACCAGTGTTGTTTGTGATCATGCGCTTCACAGTCTTCACGCCAACTTCTGCTCTACAATTGCTATGAGGAAAGGCTACAGAAGAAAGCCTGTGGTGCACACCCCATGTTTTTAGGAAATCTCTGGTTGTTGAAGCTGTAAATTCCGGGCCGCCATCAGAAGACAGTTCATCTGGTATTCCAAATGTGACGAATGTGCGGCGTAAGCAATCAACAAGGCCAGATGCGCCATCTTGTGCCCTTTCAACAATTGGCCAATTTGAGTATCTGTCTACAATCACCAGGTAATTGCCGCCTTTGTAGTGGAAAAAGTCGGCACAAACACACTGAAATGGATATAAGGGGTAGACAGATGGAGTTGGCGGGGCGCTGGGTTGGGATGGGGCATTTCTGTTGCAATGGTTGCATGAGTTTCTAAGCTTGGTGATGTCGTTGCATATGCCGGGCCAAAACACAGATGTTTCTGCTCTTGACATCATGGATGAAGTGCCTTGGTGGGCTGAGTGTAGCGCTGTCAGCACGTCTGTTCTCAATGAAGGTGGTATCACTATTCTGTCCTTATATATGATGACTCCATCGATAGTGGAGAGGTTGTTACGGAACTGATGATATTCTCTCAGGGGAACTGGAAGATCGTTTCGTGTTTCTGGGATGCCACTTTCAATCATCTGTACGAGCTGGAACATGTACTCGTCGCTTGTTGTGGCAGTCCTTATTCTATCCCAGGTTATACACTGAAGTGAGGTGACTGATGACAATGCTGTCGAGTAGAAGATAGCTTCGCTACTTTTCAATGGGATTTCCAGTGTGTCATCTGCGATTTTGTGATTATGTGTTTGGATGGTATGTTGCGCCTCATTCTTGTTGCAGATATGAACAGAAGCAATATCATCGATTAAAACCATGCTATCAGATTTCCCAACTGGGTGACGAGAAACGGTATCAGCAGCTCGATGTTTGGCGCCGGGCACGTGTAACATTGTGAATTTGTAACGTAGAGTTTTCTCTTTTAGGTTACGAAGTCTTGAATTAGGAATATCTTCTAGTGATCTGTCACCAAAAAGTTTGATTAAGGGCTTGTGATCCACAGCGATGATTAGCTTGTCACATCCGAGAACAAAGTATCTCGCTTTTTCTAAAGCATCAGCAACCGCAAGTGCTTCGCCTTACGGGGGCATATCTGGATTCGGTGGCGCTAGTGAACCTGCTCCCAACAAGAGTTATTTTCCATCCGTCTCGGCAACAGAATGGCACGGTTTTGGAGCAATTGCAATGTTTTTGGAAAAGCCAATATCCTATGCCATTCTTTGACCAATCTGTGGCAAGACAAGTTGGTTTATTCTTGTCAAATATCTGGACGCCGTGTTCTATTTCACTGATAATAACTGCTTTTGATTCTTGAAAAAGACGCTCTAGAGTGTCATCCCAGCAAAATGGAGTTCCAGGTTTGAGCAGTTGTCTGAATGCTTGCATCCTGTCAGTCATGCTGAATGCATATGACACTTGATTTACAAGGCCGAACCAAGATCTCATATCAGTTATGTTCTTAGGTGAAGGGAAGTCCAGAATTGCTTCAAGATAACGGCTGCATGGTCGCACACTGTCACGAGTAATTTCAAAGCCAGCAAACTGAACAGTATCTTTTGCAAACACAAATTTGTCAGGGTTCAGAATGATACCATTTTTTCCACAGGTTTCTAGCCAATTGCACGATTGAAAGAAACTTTGCTGGATACTGTCCGACCAAAGAAGAGCATCATCTATACACTTTGTTTTGTCAGGAATGTCAGATACAATTTCGTCAAAGCGGCGTGTATATCCATCTCCGGAGGCTATGTATCCTTGAGGCGCTGTCTTATATCTGTATCTGCCCCATGGTGTGATGAAGGTGGTCAAGTGCTTGTCCTCTTCACGGATAGGCACACTATGGTACCCATTCCAGGCATCGAAGACAGTCTTTTTAGTGTGACGTGGAACAGAGCGAGCTTGATGAAATGGGGATTGTGTGTGGTGAGTTTCCCTCACTGCATGAACATTTAGTGCCTGAAAGTCTACTGTCCGTCGCGGTTTGCCATTCTTCTTTGCACAGACGACCATACGATGACACCATGTAACTGGTTCCCCGACCGGAACAGGCTCAATAACGCCGAGTCGAACATCTTGATCTAAGCCTGCCTTCACTTCATCCTGCCAGTGTAATGGTACTGGGACTGGTGTATGATGAGCAACAGGTGTGGCGTCAGGGTCCACCATGAGCCGCATCGGTGGGCCTGACATGTGCGGAAGTGGTTGGTGCTGACATGTATTGAAGGTGCTGGATTTGTACCAGTCTAGTAAGTACTGTTGCAGTTTCTCCCGGTTCGCTTCGGTTGCTGGGAACGGCAGAACCGATGGTGCAGGCAGTGGTGTTTCGCGTTTAGGACACTTGCAGTCGTCACTGTCTATACGTAATGTGGTTGTAGAATCCACAGAAGATGTCGATTGTGAACCGTGGTGTGCATAATCATCTTGTGTACTTGGGGAGGACACAGATTCGCTGATGGTCTCTATACTTTCGTTGTTGATGTTACGTGCTTCACCAATAGTTGGAAAGTTCGGTGTTATCATGCCAAGTGATGCACACGCTTCTCTACTAAGAAACACTTTGTCAGAGTTATTGGTGACGTACACAATTTGGGGAGCTTCATAAGTTTCACCTCTCGTTCCTTTGCCAGATATGCGGAGGATGACTGCCCCAAGGATTCTTATGCTGACGTTGTTAGCAGCATGCATCTTCATAGTCACTGGGATCAAATGTTTCTCTGAGATGCCAAGCCGATGTAGCACCTTAATGCCGGCTAGGCAGCTTTGGCAACCTGTGTCAGCCATGGCGGTGATGGTAGCTGTCTTTGGTTTCGGTATGATCTTTGGGTCAATGCCGAAGTGGTCATAGTCTTTAGGTTCAACACGAGCAGTCACATGCATAAAAGGCTGAGGCTGTGACGGCTGGCGAATCCAAGTGTCTGATAGCTGATTGTAAAGATGATGATCAAGTTGAACAACATTTCTACCATAGTTATTGTCATGACTGGTTGCGGCGCAAAGTGAATCAAACACAGCACTTTCCTGTTCAGTCTTAGTGTTTGTCACATTTTGTTTGCCTCTGCATACAGACTCAAAGTGGTTCATTCGCTTGCAATTGTTGCATGTATGACCATATGCAGGGCACTCTTTTTTGCGAGTTTGTGGCGTTGCTTTGGCACCATGACCTTTATTTCCACAATAGGTGCACAGTGTCTCTTGTTTTTCAGTTTTCTTAGTCACTATACGAGCGGCACTCTTATTGCGGCGATATGAACTGCTAGCTGCTTCTGCTCCTTGAGAAACAAGTAGTTTAGATGCAGAACGTTTACCCGATTCTTTGGCTTCAACGAATTGAAATGTTTGTTCAAGTGTCATGTTTTGATTTCTTTCCCCAAGGAGATCAAGTTGAATCTCAGAGTCGTTGAGTCCACGAATAAGCACATCACGTAAGATTGCGTCAGTATAGTTGACTTCGTTGTCGCAGCTGGGGCATGGTATTAAAAACTTGCACACACCTGCTTGTCCGCGTAGTCGAGCCCCAAATGAGCGCACAGTTTCTTCATGGTCTTGTGTCATGTTGTTCAGTGCTACCCGAGCTACCATGGTATTCTCTTCACGCACAGCTAGGATCCTGATGGCTGTTAATACATCTTCTTGAGACTTATCCGTCAGCGAGCCACCAGCTGATCTTGTGAGGTCTCTCCGTAGATTCTCATCGCAACACTCAAGAAGCTGTATAACAAGTTCCTTTTCCTTTATTTTAGTGGCTTCTACGTAGTCTTTCCATCGTGAGAGGAAGTATGACCAATCTTCACTCGTGCCAGCGGATGTAATGGTGGGCCGTTTGACTTTTTCCACTTTATTACAGCTTGCAGAAGTCGAGGCTGTTGTGTGTACTAGCGCATGGGTAGTCAAAAGTGCAGCAACGATTGCAGCATCTAAGTCATCTGTTTCAAAGTCACAGTCTGGGATTGGACACTTCACTGAAGGCATCTTGTTTGTGTAGTTGTTGTGTTGTTATGTGTTGTTATCATAGTGGTCTCTCAGATAACTTTATTATCCAAAATGATGATTGAAACATACAAAAAGTAACATTGTAAATAAAATCAACTATCTGTTGGTAAGACATAAGTAATAGACTAACAAGTAAATACATAATCCTCTAAGATGTACTATTCAGAACCTCTGTACCACGGATGTAAGTACAAATGTATAATAACTGTCAATATCATGATGGAGGTCTGAAACATACAAAAAGTAACATTGTAAATAAAATCAACTATCTGTTGGTAAGACATAAGTAATAGACCTATTCAGAACCTCTGTACCACGGATGTAAGTACAAATGTATAATAACTGTCAATATCAATCACCGTTATTTTAACGTAGAAAGTTTAATTCTCATTTCATGTATTTAATTATTTTCAATATTAGTTCATTCATCTCAAAAATTATACAGTGTTAACATATTATCATCAATGATCAAATGTGTTACTGTCTAATAGTATCACAACTGCTCCTGTCCGTAGTCTCACGTTATTTGAGGCGAATACAAGAAGAGTAGAAAGGAAACTGACCAAATTGCATCCATGGCCTTATGAATGCAATTAATTCGATTTCGTCCATCTAGTAACTAAACAGATATAGATATAGTGCAGAAAATATTATACGTATAAGTTTCTGCATAGGTCACATGAGCAACGTGAAAGTCAGAATTGGAAAACGGTTGGAGTCGTTTATGATACGAATTAATTACCTGTCTAACGAGTCATTTCATATATCACTCTTGACATCAAAATATGGAATATTTTTACGTGTTGTATTTGCAAGTTTTTGAATATTCAAGAGAAACATGTTTTTTCAGGTGTATCAGCTACAGCGTTGTTATGGAGACCTTCAACTAAGTGTGATATCACTGGAATTATTGATACACGAAAGTGTAAATCGTCGGCGAATTCCATCTAATGACATGGACAGATTACTTCATAAAATATATGATGTGTTGTGTTTCCTTCTCGACGTGGAATCGGTGTCACAGACTTCCTTGAATTTGACAGATTTTTATTTAACATCGCGTGGTTCTTTTGAGACAATCGGAACTCTAAATGACAGCGATTTCCAGGAGTTAACGTATATAGCGCTGCGAGGTTTGCAAAAATTACTGACTCATGCTAAATCCATTATTCAGTTCCGAATTAGTATTCTGACTTAAAGACTGGCACTGAGTCGCAATTAAGTGGGCGGGGTGAAGGAGAACAACGACCCAACTTGTGTTAGTCAGATCGACAATGAACAAAAAACAAAAGGAAAAACATTAATTGACAAATATTTGTGTGGATAACAACGTGGAAATATATATCAATGAACCGGCGATTGGTATCAGCAGAATATACTGCGATCACCAAAGTGTTTTCACGTTTAAATTCTAACAATTATTTGTATCATAATACGTGGGCAAAACTGGTTAATGCTCTCGAGACATTAACACGTGCGCGCGACATATAATTTATACTCACAAGATAAATGTTTGTGCGATTATTTTGCGACCGAGAGATACTAATTAGTAGGAATAAATTAACGCATGCTTAAAAGATATTAATTAGCACAACAAAATCGGTAAGTGCGTACAAGATAATAGCTCGTGCTCACGAGACAGGAAACTAATGTCTACGAGAAAAGGAAGTATGTATGACCTCAAAGAGTTCCCGTAATGCAATAAAATTGTTCAAGAATATGAAATTAATAATGAAACTCTATAACTAATCCACATTAATATCCAAGTTGGTTATGCAAATGTTTAAGGGAAATAACCTATCTGTAGTTGACTCCTGGTAATACATATTTTCGTCATTGATATTAAGTGATAATAAACATTTTAATACAATTTGTATTTCTGTCTTTCCTTTCTTATATATGG